TGTCTAAGACGGAAGAGGAAACAGAGGGATAAGGAAGTAAAGATGTCAGAAGACTGGTCTGTTGCCCGTCTCCAGGAAAAGATTACACTTCCTCAAAAGAGGAAGACGTAGAAACAGAGGCAGTGAACAGAGACCAGCTCCAGCAGATTTTTTGCTGCTTTGTCACTACCCTTCTCTGAGCCTAGATCCACTTCTGCTCTAGGAGCAGCCCTTTGCCTCCCAGAGTTCCTCTTCTCCCTCTGTCCCAAGACCTATAAATGTATGTTTTATGGTGCTGGGTGTGGTCAGGTTTTTTATCTAAGCAACATTGTTTTCAATAATATTTAATGTCATACTACTTGCTTTCTTCTGGACTACATGCCTGTGCTTTCTATGTTACATTTACTTCTGGTAGTAAAATTTCTGGCAATTGTTGCAAACAAATCATCTTCTGTAATGATAATACACCTTTATATTTATTCCTTTGATTCTATCTCAATAGTTTTCCCATATATCCTCTTCTTCCCATTATAGTACCAGTATAGGTACAAGGAATAAAAATGTATTTCTGTCGTAAATTTAAAGGTACAAAATTCTAACAAGTTTTGAAATTTTAGTACTCAGAATTCCTGTTCTGATTATAAAACATATTCACGTATATTCGAAAGGCATTTTTGCCATGCCCACAGCAAGCATTTCTGAGCTGCTGCTGAGGGAAGTCATCGAGACAGGTGCATTTCCTATAATATGAACATCCACAAAAGGTTGATTTCTACACTGCTTTTTTCCACATACCAGGCCAAATAACTAATGCCTCATTTAAGCAACTTTCCTATCCCCTTTTCCATTTGCTTTCCGAAAAGCAAATTATCATCCAATTCAAATATAATTATAACATGAATTAGCCAATGATGATAACTGAAAAATTAATCATCATGAAATGAAACTGTATTTCATCCTATAGATTGTTCCAGCTAGCTTTCACTGAGTTTCACATACCACTTTCAAAAATAGAAGTTAAATTGAAAATGTAATGTAAACTCTCTTCTAAATCAATTTGTCTTTTCCGTTAGAGCTCAACTCAAAAGTCATCCAACTTTCCACAGCAGAATACAGAAGACCTGCTTCTGGATAATGTTCATGTGGAATTACACTTGATTTACAACTAATGAATTAGAACCATCATTCCAAAGGACAAAGTTCACTATTGATAAGTTAACTCAGTTACTTTAAGCAATACATAGTTCTTAAAAACCTCTTAACAATTTAAATAATCCTTGAACTTCAAAGCCTGAATGAGCAAAAAAGATTTCTTCCTTAATTGTTACCTCTCCGATTTAATTTAGATTTTTCTCTGATGAGCAATTAATTCTAGAAAAGGAAATAGAAATTACTATTTGGTGATTGTGCTAAAGTTCCCTGGAAACGTCAAAGTTGTTATACCCAGAATGAATGATTTTTCAAATTATGACCCAGCAATAAATCTAGGAACACACAGAAGCCTTGTTTAGTCCCTCTTGGAGAAGCCCCACATTACTCAATATCATGCAGAATTCCTGTGATGTGCTAAAAACCTCATTGTAACAAAATGTCAACTGAGTTAGCTTGGTTTGATCTGTAGGAAGCCATTTGTGTCTAGGACATTGGCAGGTTGCTACAGCAACAATGGAAATAAAAGAAATTGAAAAGTCATATTTTCCATAATCAAAAAACAACACTCAAAAATAAAAAGAACCATATTATTTCCAAACTGAAATTTTCATTCATTTGTGGTAAATCTCTGAATAAAACTGGGCATTATTCATTTAGGGGTTTATAAAAGCAGGTTTTCCTCAGTCTAAGCACTAACAGTGAAAACTAAAGGTTCTATCAAGACTTTAAGTGCATTTACATGTACAGCTGTGTTTTAGTAATTACATTAGTCTATCTATTTTAACAACAACAACAAGAGAGAGAAAAACAATGTAAATCAAACCTAATGGTTTGTGCTCAGATTCCTCTGAAGTTTGGATCTGAAATAGTAATAAACTCTGCCTTTGTTATTCTATTGCATACAGTACTATAGCCAACCACGAACTTCCCCAATGCCAATGCTAATAAATCTCTCTTCCAGCGACACGGGAATTTTCTGATCACTGGCTGCATTTCAATAAAAGTACCAAGAAATAGATTCAAGTTAGGGATGGTTGTGAACCACATTAAATGTTTTTTTTAAAAAAAAACAACTTTTTTCTTTTGAATTGAAAGTCACAATGCATTCAAGGTGATCTATAAAATTGTCAGCCTACAGAATGCTATTGCCGGCTGACTCCATACCTCTGGACAGAAGAAACATTCCTTCAAGGTCTGCTCTTAACCACCTCCTCTCTCCCGAGAGAAACAAAGATTAGAAAAACAGCAGCCCTCAAAAGCAGTTGCCTGGCTCTGTTTCCGGGCTTTCCACTCCCTGCATTTACCATCATATCCTAATCCTGTATATGGTATGTGGATTTGGCCGAGTTAATATAATAAAATGAAATGGAATAACCAGGGGCAAAAATCCTCTATTATTTTAATTTAGTCACAACTATGCTCTCACATATTTGTCAAGTTTACCACACATAATGCAAGGGGATAAATATGTTAATAAAATCAAGATGACAGTATTTTTGTAATCCTTCACTGCAGTAGAGAGCTTTAGTGTAAATTTAAAAATTTTTTTTTACAAATTAACTATATTTTCTAGGCAAACTCGCAAATCACCTAGCTTTCCTCCTTCGCAGGAAATGAGAAACAGTAGGTTTTAAAATTTATTTTACTACCAGTGTATCCCCCTTGGAAATAATTTCTGATCAAATACATATGTACGTGTGTGTGTGTACATTCACACGTTCATCCAAGTTGGTAGATTTTTCTATACCACTTGTGTAAAGCTATAAAATTATAAACAATTTATGTATACATATAACCTAGAAAAATCATAGCCCAATAGAACGTGTTTGCTGTAAAATTTTAAAGTACATTTTGTTATATAAGATTTTTAATATATCATTCTTGGCAAAAATGCCTTTATTTTTAGAATCAAGAAGATGTTGACTGAGCATGAAGATATTTTTAAAACAAGAAAATACAGTTGGGGGTGGCTGGTTAGCTCAGCTGGTTAGAGTGCAGCGTTGATAACACTAAGGTCAAGAGTTTGGATCCCCATACCAGCCAGCCACCAAAAAAAAAAAAGAAAAGAAAAAAATACAGACAAATATCAGAAGGTTAAAAGGTACAAGCACAAGTAAAACTATTAAATTATTTCCAAGATACTCCTTATAAAGGAGAAATTTTCACAGATATAAATAATCTACACCTATTCTGTAAAAAATAAAAGCTCGAAAGTTTATTCTTTAAAAAAATCCTATGAATAATCTGTGCTGTGGAAAACATATTAAGAGAACTTCAAAGGGTCAAAAAGAAAGGACAAACTTCCCCAAATTTCTGGATGTTGCTCCAGATATGAAGATCACATGCTTTTCTTGTTTAGATTATGTCTCTGCAGTCAGGGCAATTTCCATTTCTGCCTCTTATTATTTTCAAAACTTACATGTAGTCAGCGAATATCTCTGAAATACTTACTAAAGCTATATTTTTAGATATCAGTTCTATAGTTAATTAATTATTTCCTCTTGATGAATTTTATATACATACAATATTTTGCAGTTTCTCAAGAGTTTCACTTACATTCTCCCATTTGACCTCCACAATATCACTGGAAAGAAGGAGACAGAATGATCATTCCCTCTTTATAGAGGGGTAAACTGAGGCCCAGAAGAGTTAAGGGACTATTTCAAGGTCACAGAGCTAAGTAATGCAACCAGGACTCTTCTGGTTATCTTTACCCTCTGGTATTTAATCTTTTATTTAAATCTTCTTCTAAAAATAGATTTCATGGACTATTGGGATTAAATTCTTGATCACTATTATTTTGATTAGAATATATATATAGATAAATTTTGCTTTTTTTAAAAAATTATTGACTAAATCCTGAAGTTTCCAATCAGAACTGCCTATTACAACATCTATAATCCTCCAAGCTCCTGGATCCATCAAATATGATGGGTATTTTGCCTAATAACACTGTGCTTTAACATCAAAAATAAGATACTTTGGATTTATTTTCTTCCTTTAATCATCTCAAATAACTCATATAAAATACAATGGTAAAGAAAAGAAAAGCCTGATAGCCCATTAGGCCCTCAACCATAGTACTAATCAACATCCTTGTAATCATCCGCTAACTTTTTTCAGCATTACAATCCATTCTCATTGTGGTTGAATTAAATGTGTATTTTCTCTCCCTTACACTACTCACTTAGTAGTCATGGCAAATTAAACCTAAGCTGCCATTAAATGTCAAAAGATCTTAAATATGAAGCCATCTGACAATTAACTCTAGAGAACCAAGAAACAGCTCCAGTCCTGAGGATGGTTCTTACTAAGAACTGCATTAACTTTGAAGTTCTAACACAGAACTAAATTTTAGAGGTCACTTAACATAAAAAGGCAGAAACTTGGATTCTCATAATTTTCAAACTCTTTGAATGTTTTTATATAGTGAATGAAAAGAGCATTTGACTGAAAGTCAGAAAATAGCTCCTATCTGGACCTCGGTGACAGAACCAGCTGCGTGACCTCGGGCAATCCAAACCCTCTTCATCCACTGATGCCTCCCAAGGTCCCCTCCTGCTCAGAATGTCACACATCTATTCTCCATTTAACCAACCCATAGCACTATAAATACAATTTCTATAGCCTTATTATGCATCCAGCTCCCCAAGACACTTCTTCCTAACCAAGTTTAATTTTTTCAGTTGCTTACACTCTACATTTCCGAATAACAGGCAGTTTTTTGATTATTCATTTTTTAATATCAATTCCTTTTAAGAGAAAAGATTGTATATTTCTAGATTTCATTCCCTGAAAACATTCTAAGCTTTCTAAATGCAGAATCTCAAACAAGCTCAGAGATTTTTATAAAATAAGACAGTAATTACCTTCAAGCGTTGTTCCTTCTCCAAGAAGGGCATCTCCAGCCCCAGATGCATACAAGGCTGACACAGACAAGGCATATTGTGTCCCTTCCTTTAATCCCCTCAGCACGATATTGGTTGTATCTCCACTCACAGTGATCTCTTGAGTTTCCCCTCCTGCCACTGGGGTGTACGTGACGAGATACTGTTTCACTTTTCCCGGAGCCCCACTCCAAGATAATTTCATAGTTGATGTTGTAGGGTCAGAAACTCTTAAGTCTCTTGGATTCCCTCTAACTTCATTAAAAAACAACAACAACATCAAAATCCATTATTTAATAAAATGACTTGAAAAACAGATTTTTACTTTACATATGTATGTGCATTATATCAAATTTATATCATGGGTGAGTCAATGGCAATTTAGCTGTTGATTAGCCAACAAAGTTTAAGGATCTCTAATAAGGCCCCACATGTTAGTAGAAACAAAGAAAAAGACATCAATTTTTTTTCCTGTATTTACACGGGTTAAAATCATGATGTATTTACACGGGTTAAAATCTTTCACATAAAATCGTTCATGTTAGAATCTTTCATGTAAAATACTTTCTCTAAATTTTCCCTAAAAGTGGAACAAAGCACTATAAAATGAGGACATGTTGATTAGTACCACGGGTTAAAATCTTTCACATAAAATCGTTCATGTTAGAATCTTTCATGTAAAATACTTTCGCTAAATTTTCCCTAAAAGTGGAACAAAGCACTATAAAATGAGGACATGTTGATTAGTATAGTGTGGTCGTCTGAGGCCCCACACTCAGAGCATGGTGTCGGCTTCCTATGGTCATTGGTGTGAGGAGGACTTTATAGCCAGTCACTGGGCTAGGAGATGGACTCCAGCTTAGCTTAATGTATTTTGATGAGATTTCCGTGGCTATCAAATTTGAAGGAGGCTCAACAACTGAAAAGTAACAGGCAGGCAATGATTAATAGTAGTCGTATAACTTCGTATAATGTATGCTATACGAAGTTATTACGAGCATTTCTCTACACAATTTCATGAGGATTCTTTTGATCCTGGTTACTGCATTCATTTAGCCAAAAACTAACTAGATTCTGAAACAACGAACAAATATTCTACAATATCCGGAAAGAAATTAAGTACAGTTAATTTTTTAATCAAATAAAGACATATATAACAGTAAACTTTTAAAATCATAAATACTCTGCTAAATGCTAAATTTATTTCGGATCCCACATACAGACCGGCCGCTCACTGGCTGAGCGAGGGGCGGGAGCAACACCGAGGGTTGCGATCCCGTGGCCGGTCCCGGTCCGGTACGGGCACGACACTGAGGGTCACGAAAAAAGACAAAAAAAAAAAAAAAATTCAAAACTAAAAACAATTCAATTATTCAAATATAAGTGATTAAGGCTGTCACTCTTACTGTATTTCCTCAGAAAAGTAGGAAAATAATGCCTAAAACCCAGGTCTACCATATTTATCCACCTGACCAAGCTGTCTTATCCAGTCAGTCCCACAACTAACTTTTTATCTGTACAGTCATTTGGCTGGGAGAATAACTGGACCATACATGTGATGGAGCAAGCACATGATAGGTACATAATGAATGCTAGTTACATCTAAACCTTGAAGTTAAGTTGCAGTGTGGTAACACCCACAGACTCAGTCTTAAATGAAATTTTCATTAAGCACAAATAATAATATCGTCTGGCTTTGTGTTTTGTAAACATGTTTAAATGACCTATTTGTTCAAGAGGACAAACTGGCCGTATGGACAACACATTCAGGAAAGGTGAACTAAAGGTCACCATCCTCTTAGTCCACTGGGTTGAAATCATAGCACAACATGCTGTATATACCCCACAAACAACCAGAAGTTTACTTAAATATTCAACACATCAATAGATTGTTCCCTGTTGTTCCCAGGAGAAAGGAGACGTCTCTCTCCAGAAAAGAAAGAAATGGTAGTTGGCTGACCTGTACCCATGCTTCATTTCGTATGGCAAAGAAAAAGGCTAAATTAATCAGAATGAGTCAAGCAGGTAGACTGATGGGTTTGAATACTGAAGCTTAAAAGATATGTAATTTTGAGCCTCAGATTACCCAGCAGTAAACATGACTACTTATAGGATTATTGAAGTGGTTAAATGAGATAATCCATTGAAAACATTTAGCATAGTGCCTGACGCATAGCAGGAGCTCGATAATTGTTAGCTTAATGGAGGTATTGATCAGAAAATTCCTTATTGACTAAAGAAAGTTTAAATCCCAGACTTCACTACAGACAGTAGAATTGGAAAGGCATTACCAAATTCTATTGTAGCAGCCAAATGGTCAAAAACAAGAATCTATATGAACATAGTGGCCTCTACTCAAAAACCTTAGATTTAAATTTCTTCTTGAGACATACTTCCCATTCACATCGTAAAGTGCTGAAGAAAAAGGGCTGGCTCATCAAGCAGCAGTATGGGCATTACAGCTAATTATCAGAAAATCAGAAATATCCAAGTATGGACTTCTAGGTTATACAATCACAAAAATCATAAGATAAAAAGATGCCTCTGGTCATTTAGTTTATTTGCTGGCCTCAGGCAGAAATAAACCTAAACATGCACAAAAGAAAAATATCAACCTTATTTTTAAAGTGTTTCAGAGAAGAAAGATTGTCTAGCTTTAATCAGTTAGGTATGCCAGTGTGCACCGCCACTATCAGCAAATCCTTCTTTGTAACTACTTCTACCTTAAATTCCTCACAATGTCCTTTCAGCTTCTTTCCCTCCTATCCCCAGTCAAAATAGAGAAGAACAATGGACATCTCTTATAATATTCAATGTTTATGTTAAAGAGTAACTGCCTTGTTTTAATCTTCTCCTAACCAGGTTAAATTGGTGCCCTTTAAATGTCAAATGTATTGAATTTTGTCAGAAAATATTCAATTCTATCCAGTAAGAAAGCTACATCTAAACAAATACTGCTTAAAATAAACTTGGTAAAGTCTGTACACTCCTGTTCATAGCAGCATTATGCACAGTAGCTAAATGGTAGAAGCACCCCCAAGTGTCCATACATGGATGAATAGATAAACAAAAGGTGGTATATACGTACAATGGAATATTATTCAGCCTTAAGAAGAAAGGAAGTACTGACACATTCACAACATGGACAAACCTTGAAGACATCATACTAAGTGAAATAAGCCAATCACAAAAAAACAAAAACTCTGTGATTTCACTTATATGAGGTACTTCAAGTAATCAAATTCATAGTGATAGAAAGTAGAATGGTGGTTTCCAGGAGCAGGGGAAATGAGGGAATGGGTAATAATTACTTGTTTAATGAGTCCAGAGTTTCAGTTTTGCAAGTTCTGGAGATGGATGGTGGTGCTGGTAGCACAACAAGGTTAATGTACTTAATGCCATTGAAACGTACATTTAAAAGTTGGTCAAATGGTAAATTTTATTTTATGTGTATTTTACCACATTTTTTAAAAAGGAAAAAAGAATTTGGTAATATACATTTGCCATCAGCTCCATAAGTAAAGTAAGGAAATTTCAGAGGTATTTAAAACATGACATCCCTGAAATGTGGAACAGAAAAAGTTGGAGCAGTATTTCAAAAGTTATCTACATAATTATTAACAGTTCTCTATGTCTGGACCTCAAATCCATCAAAGTAAATCAAGGGTTTTTTACTTAAAAGTTTTTGCTCTTTTTAAAAAGATTTATGGGGCCGGCCCGGTGGTGCACTCGGTAGAGTGCGGCGCTTGAGAGCGCAGCGGCGCTCCCGCCGAGGGTTCGGATCCCATAAAGAGACCGGTCCGCTCACTGGCTGAGTGCAGTGCGGGCGCGACACCGAGGGTTGCAATCCCGTTGCCGGTCACGAAAAAAGACAAAAAGGAAAAAAAAAAAGAAAGATTTATGAATACCTGTATTTTAAAGATGCCACATTTTACAAAGGCATTCATAATTCTGAGCTATACAATAAATTACTAGTTTTTTAAACACAGTGGCAGAACCCGCACCACACCTTCTTCGGTGGCCTCTTCTCCAGCTAAGGGAATGCTGAAACCGTCCTCGTACTCTGCAGTCACATTGACCAAGTAGAGGGTCTCTGGCTTCAGGCTGCTGAGAACAACACTGGTGCTTGATGCTGGCTCCACCACTGTGACCTCTTCATCCCCAGCAGCTTCCTTGTAAGTGATGTGATATGAAAAAACATTTTCTCCAGCAGGAGACCAGTTGGCTTTGAAACTGTAAGAAGTCACCTCAGAAAAACTAAGATTCCTTGGAGGCACATAAGCTATTAAAAAGAAAAAAGACATAGTTTAAAAACTCTAAGTCTATAAAGCAAAACTGGATCTAATGACTCCATGTTTCTGAAATAGCTTATGTTCATTTGGGTTAATGATGTTCATTAACACCAATGTACTGAGTAAATCTTTCACTCTTGACCATTGAGAAAAAGCCTCCCACTTACAGCCCTACAAGAAGGTCCTGATCATTTGCCTTGACCATACATAATACTAACTTATGCCATTTTAATGACTAATTAAAATTTAATTTGAATTATGAGATTCTTTAAGACAAAGCAGTAATAGAATGGACCTGCCCATAATTGGAATATTTAAATAGCACTAGGCCTAAAATAAGCCAGCAAAATTTTCCCATTTATCCCTAGTACGTGGATATTAACGTGTGACGGTAGGTAGACACATATTTCAAAGTAATGACAGGAATTTTTCCTAACAAAAAAATATTTATTAGACTAAGCATTTATTAAACTAAATCATAGCAAGAGACAATATTGAACACACACTACATATCCTCAGGGTACATACAATCAAATTGGAGAGATAAGAGAGTACAAAGTTACTAACAACAAAAAAAGCAGTTCACATGAATGCCGAATGAGTGAAAGTGACAGTAAGTGCTATGGCACTAGGATAGTTAAGGCATGCTTGATGAAAAGAACGGGACTTTCAACTGAACATTGAAAAACAGAATTTAGACAAATGAAGAAAAGACGATAGGTAATTCCAGATGTGAAGAATCACGCCCAAAAATAATCTAGTGACGCATAAAAAGAATTCAAAGGTCTGGGACTATGTTCTAGTCATCTTTGATTCAAAGGAACTAACTCAGTACCCAACACACAGTAGACACTCTGTAAGTGTTTTTTTAATTGAATATAATAAATAGACGTGATAAAGCTGGTTTCTAGACCTGCTTGAAGATCTAGAAGCAGGAGCATCTCATGACTTTTATGGGTAAACAGCTTTTTCAGCAAAAAAATACATGATCCATACCCAGGAGAAAGTCATATCTCACAACTAAATAAACTAAGCTCAATAGTTTCCAATAACAGAAAATTTACTTTCTCCTGTCTATGAAAAAAAGTTGAAGAAGTGTATTATGTACAACTTTAGAACCAAAAATGCTTTGTTCATGAAGAGATAACTTTTACTCTACAAAGTCTACTGACCTTTCTTCTTTATAGCTGCCAATTCTTGCTCAATTCTAAGGCAGATAGACTGGGTAAGTTCAAAAGATATCCTCTGAAAAGCATCAAAATCTTCCACTGTGAACACATGGGTCTCAGCAGGAGGAGAGGCAATAGCTTCTAATTCTGAGCGAACCGCATCCTTTACACCAACTGCAAAGATTTCAACATCTGAATTCCTTAGTTTTATAGCAGGATCTCTGAAAGCATCTGATGATTTTCCATCAGTAATAAGAATCATGACCTTTGGTACATTGCTTCTTGAACCCTTGCCAGGCACAAATATTTTCTCTCTGACATACGTCATTGCTTTGCCAGTGTTGGTAGATCCTCCTCTGTAGGGGAAGGTGTTTATTGCTTCAAGTATATCTTCAACTTTGGTGAATTTTTTCAAAGAGAATTCAGTATGAGGATCCCGGCTGTACTGGACAAGACTTATCTGAACCCTATTTGGTGAGATGTCAAAACTTTTTACAAGAACTTCCAAAAAGGCTCTAACTTTAACAAAGTTTGCAATCCCAATGCTATAGGAACCATCAACCAAAAACACAATATCGGCTTTTATATCCACTCCACGTGAGCATTCTGTAAAAAAAAGAAAGTCCATTAAACTCCAACACATATGAATTAATTATTACAATATAGATATCTGGCTTTCTTAGAAAGCATTCTCTTTAAAAGCAAACTATTGCAAGTAGTTTGTTTAAAACTAAGTCCGAACCAGTACGGCATACTGTCAGGTGGATGTTCCCATATTCCAAACCCATTGGACTCACCCACTTGAACTTTCATTGGTTGAGTCTTCTCCATTATTGAAACAGGTTCACTGGATGTCACTCCCTTCATGGCAGAAACACTGATCTGATATTCTGTGTCCGCTGAGAGGTCACGAATACTGAGTGTGGTCGTCTGAGGCCCCACACTCAGAGCATGGTGTCGGCTTCCTATGGTCATTGGTGTGAGGAGGACTTTATAGCCAGTCACTGGGCTAGGAGATGGACTCCAGCTTAGCTTAATGTATTTTGATGAGATTTCCGTGGCTATCAAATTTGAAGGAGGCTCAACAACTGAAAAGTAACAGGCAGGCAATGATTAATAGTAGTGAGAAGCAACCCTACTAAGTAGGTCTTTATGTTTGAATGTTCAATTCTCCTTATCCAAAGTAATCACGAATACATCAGGAAGTTACCCAACATCCTCCCCACCTCCAATTCCTCCTGTCCCTATCAAACCAAAAGTGACTTAATGACTGATTTGTAATCAGATTGGTGAGAAGTTTATGAAAAAAGAAAGTCTTTGGGAGAAATTAATGAGAAGACATCTGATGCCTAATTCTTCTCTGGAACCAAGATTTTCATTCTGATTTTGGTATTTCACTCACTTCTTTTACTCCAGGTACCAAAGTAGGCACTCCATAAATAACTATTAAATCGATGATTCACTCAATTCTTTAGAAAGTTTTTCTCTTTTAATAATATTGTAACAGTAAAACTATAATCTTGATTCTTTATAATATGCCAAGAAAGAGAAAGAATTTTATTCCCACATATTTCAGAGAAAAAAAGTTCAACTATGTTCATAGTGCCACCAAACAGAAGTGAAAACGATGGTTTATAACATGCATATTGACACGTAAATATCAATAATCTAAAAAATTTTGATAGTCATGCATTTAACAGTTAACATAAAGTATTTTAAGGTGTTTCAGACAAATATTCAAAATTCTAGTTTTCTCAATGGTATCAACTTCCAGAAGATACGGTACTAATTTTTTATAAATCAAGCAAGGGGTGGGGGTATAAAAACAAGCAGTTTACTCATCACCTTCTCAAAAAGGCAATAGGATGCAGCACATAAAAAATGATGTTTAAGTGAGAAGCAGTAGGAGGGGAAGCAACAGATGTGCCAACCAGAAGTCTGCCCAAACCTTTTGAGTGATGCAGAGACAGTACAGGGAGCAGGGGTCTCAGGCTAGTCAGGCAAAAGAGAGAAGAAAAGTGTGCACACCTGTGCTGCAGCAGGGGCTCCCCACACAGGGAGGGTTCCAACAGCAGCAGAACCACGGTTCAGCCTGCCCCTGCATACCCGCAACTGCGTCCCAGTGAGGAATTAGAACTTTTCAAAAGATTGAGTAAAGAGAGGTAATCAGAGGAAAGTGGAATTGGGGGAGATGGATTTTACAATAATACAGAGCAAAAAAGTCAGACCTTAGGCAGTAAAACAAAGAAAAAGAGCCCATGAAGTAATGAGAAGTTCTGAGACAGAATTAGGGCCAATGAACATTATCAGGGTTTACATGATAGAAGATGTGCTATTTAGAATTTATGTTTAATCACTTGATTCACAAGCTGAGAGGAAAGCAATCGTGGAAAAATGGAAAGGCTTAGAATTGTGCCTTTAATGTTCAAAAGGCTGCTATGAAACATCTGAAATGTCCTTTCTTTCTTCCACATATTCAGAAGTGGTAACCAAAAGAAATGAAAAAAATTCCCAGATGTGGCAGGATCTAATTGACTGAAATATTCTTTAAAATTCTGAAAATATCATGTAGAATACAATGATGGAAAACCCTTGTTCTTTGCCAGTTGATAAAAACAGTTATTATTGTGTTGAGTTGTAGAATGCTAAAATAAATGTCTCTCCAGCCTGCCAATGTTTAAATCAGTGTAAGATAATTAAAGCAAGTTACCAGCATAGCATGATCACGCACCCTCAATGTGTACAAAAGGGTCTTAAAGAAAAGAGCAAATGAAAACTTGTCCCAAAAATTTTTTTAAGAACTTTACAATGATATAAATAATTTTATTGAATGTTCCACTGAGGGGGAAAACAATACAACTGGTATCAACAAGCTGAGTTACTGAATAACAAGAGAAACGGTATAGTTGGAGAATCACTAGAGGATATGTTTAAGTAAATACATCTACTTCTAGGATACCTGTAAAGCTATAAATGCTATCAAATAATGGAAAAGACTAACACATGGGGAACACTCAACCAACAAACCACTCACCTTCTTCTCCACTAACCAATTCACCGAGTTGTTCATCAACACCTGAGCACACCTGGGAGATGATCTCATTCTGAATATCCACAATTGCATCGAAGTTGGCCACATTGAAAACATGGTTTAGTGAAGGTGTAGAGGCAATTAGTTTGAGCTCTTTTGCATCTGCAGCTTTAATGCCTTAAAAACAAAAGGACAAGGATATATTGAAACGGGAAATGTGCTGGCCAACTTGGAGAAGTTCTTTGTTATCTGTCTTTCACAATGAAGACATTTTCAAATCCTTATTAAGTCATAAGCCAGAATTGTTTTGCTTCATAATGAATGTGCAACTGTTCAGATGACAAAGGCATTTTACAATTTCACATAAAGTGGCCAGCCAAAAAAGAAAAACAAATGGTTAGTAAAATACAGTGGGCTCCCATCCCAACCAGGCCTTCATTTGTCTCTGCCATCTGATAGATAAATACTTGTTTCTTCCAGATTCCTGAATGACCTGGAGCCCTCTCAATTCTTCAAGTATAACATAATATAGGAAACAGATAAAAAATGCTTCATGATAATACACGGAAGATCTTTACTAGAATCACTGGCCCAGCATTCTTTGAAAAGTAGAGAGCTGACAAACAATGTAAACACCACCTCACTTAATGCATGTGCTAAGGGAGTTATATGAGGGGAACAGAAAAACAGAATTTTTACTCAAAGACAATTTGGCTTAATACTACGCTATACAGTGCAGTAAACACTTCTCACAGCATCCTTCCTTGAGGAGTCAATCTTTCATCTTCCTTAGCATTAAGTGTACTGAAGTAGTTCTAAAATGAAAGTAAGTAGCCATACTTAACTTACCCAAAGAGAAAACTTCAACCCCAACATTTCGAAGCTCTCTTGCTGGAATTTCCACTTCGTCCTGAGATTTGCCATCCGTAATAATAATTGCCACTTTAGGAAAACCAACTCTTGCTCCAGCAGATTCCGTAAAAGTATTTTTAACTAAGTAATCAATGGCATCCCCTGGAGGGAAAAAGAAGCATGTTTATTCACTCTGTACTACATAATTCTGCCAAAGTCAAAAACTAAGTGATTCATTTCAAAATCATTTAATACATGATAATCGTGCAATACTTAATTTCTTTCTGAAACAGACATTTCATTTATTTTAAACAATAACAAAATCTGTAAAACATACCTGTCATTGTGTTGCCACCTTTATACGGGATTTTTTTAATTGCAGCAAGAAGCTCATCCCTTTGGTAGTACTGATTTAAGTTAAATTCAGTCCTGGTATCAGAGCTGTACTGAATAACTCCAACTCTTGTCTTCTCTTCCCCAATATCAAAAGCAGACACAAGAGCAGCAATAAAGTCTAAAATGTACTTGAAATTATTTCTTCCCACACTCCACGAGCCATCCACAAGGAAAACTAAATCAGTCCAGGCACTGACAGAGCATTCTGAAATACATTTGATATATTTTTTAAATGATGCATTATTAAATCAACCCATCATTAAGAAATATAAGCTAACATTGCAAAACTGCTGGCTCCTTAAATCACTCTGTTCATTAAAATATATCCACCCATTGTTTTTCCCCCACATGCACAAAAGAATATAAAATGTTATTAGCACACATAGAAGCATTTTCAGTGCCTTCATCAACATGCATTTATGGAACTAAATGTCTTTAAATTGCCATATAAGACATTATGCAAGAAGAGATAAATAGATATATGACCTGCTCTCCAGGAGAATACAACCCAAATATTCGTGCTATCAACCTATCTACTTTTATAAACTATATCCTTACTCTTCTTTCCCAGTAAAAAATATATAAAACATCTGGGAGACAAAAAAGAAATGTAAGCAAAGTGTTTTCATTCCTTGGTATTTATCAACAAATAAATACAAAATAATTGCTGAACCACTCAAGCAAATGCAGTTGAAGAAAAAAGCAAATTCTCCTGCATTTTTCAATATAATTGTCTAAAGTTTGCAATAGTGCTAGTCTAGACCATCAACGGAGTCTAACACAAGTAAAAACAAGCATAAAATGATGCAAACTAGCCAAAATATCTTTTCCTACCTATCAGTACATTTAAATTTGACAACTAAAACCTATTTTTACTAAACAAAGAGAGGAAACAAAAGTAAAAAAATTACTTGGTATCCTTACATTACTAAAATACAACAATCAGCTTTTATAACTGAATATAATATCTTTCCTTCTGTCTCTGGTGGGGAGTTAGTTTTCAAGAAAACCTGTATTTGTAAGGCAATACTGTATGAATTGTCTGAAGATGTTTTTGTCCTTAAAGTCAGCTGGTATATAATATAAAAAGCGTTTGGCTAGGAAGAGGAGAAAAGGGTCCTGGAAAATTTTGCAAGCCAAGTATAAATTGCATGCATGCTTAAATAATTTTTGCACACTATTTAATAAGCCAACTTAAGTCTATTAAAAGTCAATACCTGGCAAAATGCTTTGACTTAAAATAAATATTGATGGTTTGGGAAAAATATTAGCATTATAACTGTATACTATAAACTTCACTTCAGATTATTAGACATCTGAAAGAATGATAAACAGTGATCTGGAGGGAAACTTACAGATAAAGAGGGTTTTGTGTTTATAATTTTTAAGTGTCATTCTGTGTCATAAATCCACCTTTTACAAGGTGTCAAAATCTGAAATCCAAGAAACCCCTTAAGAGTCTATCTGCATATGTCATACAAAGTGGTATAAGACAAAAGGAGGCTAATAACTGCAAAACCTAGACTAAATAAAACTGCTTTTATCTGACCACAAATGCACCAATTTATCAGAGATGTCTTACAGAGAATCTGGAAAAGGTTACAACTGCCTTCAACTAAGGCCATGTAAATACCCTGGCACTGAGCATAACATACACATAGACTTAGAAATGTATTTTAATGGCAATTGAATTGCTTCGAACCCTAACTGAGGGCATGTGTCTCGTGCTCGATTGTATTTCTCATATATCCATAAGTACCACCTATTTCTATCACTTTATCTTCAAGAAATTAATTGAGTCCGGTGATAAGCTTCGTTTTTTACCTGCTGCCAAAATTTTGCAGGAAAGTTTGGGCACACACAAATTCAAAACACTTCCATTAAAAAGAATATTTAGTAAATAGAATGAAAAATTGGCTAGAAAGTCATAATTTAGGTACTGTAACTGTTTAGTTATACACTACTCTTATTTTCTCTGTGCTCCTTCCAGATAAAGCTTATAGAAATTAATATAGGAATATGGTTAATCTATGTATATAATTGGAACATCTACCATATACTGTGTTTATGACTTCTACACATCCAAGCAAAAATATTAAGAGAAACACTCACTTTGTATCTCTGTTTTTCCAGGCTTCTTTTCCCCTGGCTTTGTCGGACCACCTGTTTGAACTGAGTCAAAATCTAATTATTACAAAATAAAATGAACCCCAAAAATATTTCCTAAAAAGAGAACAAATGTGTTGCCTTTTGCTATTGTCATTCAAATGTACAGTTTGTGCCAGGCTGGTCAGAGAATACTGCCAAATAAGCATCCCCCTGCAAATAAATTACTTTTAGTGAGATTTTAGACAACATTGTTGTCTGGCAAAGTTTAACGTTTTTAATACTTTTCATTCATAACATTCCTGCTGCTTCCAGATACCAGGGTTGTAACTCAGGAATGAATTATTTACATCCACCAATAACTAAGGTCACAGAAAAAATAGCTAATATTGAAATAAATTAACTCTGTATAATAAGAGATTAAATTTGAAGCTGGAAAAATCTTCTGCAAAATAAAAAGTACAGAAATACTTGAACTTATACATGTGCTTACTTGTTAGTTGGCCTATAACTGGAACACTTTCTTCTACTTCATCATATGAAGTTATTGTCACCACATACTCTACTTCAGGTATAAGGTCTGATAATAAAGTTTCAGTGGTACTAGCTGCAAGGGTAAATTCTTTAGTTGGCCCATCTGGAAATATAGAAAGGAAAATATGAATGCAATTAAACATTTTTCATGTATAGCATAACATAATATATTGTAATACCCAGAAGTACTCAAAACCTGAAAAATACTTATATATGTACATTTTTTCAGGACATCCAAACATTATTTTTTTCTGTCTTTCAAAACTAAAACTTTGAATTTTAGAAATTCAATAAATACACTGGCATTGCCTTTACCGGTTACAATCATATTCAACACTTTTTTGAGAGCTCAGGATTTTTCTAGATTAAAGGCATACCAGAATATCAAAGCAAAAAACCCCCCACTGTTCTTGAAGACTAATGGTAGATAAAATTTTCATAAATGAGATATAAAGCAGAAAATAATTTAATTTTAAACTATGCCTTAGAGGAGAGCAGAGAGAGAGAAAGAAGTGATGAAAATAAATTCAAGGAAAACAAATGTTATAGGTTAAAATTAACCTCTAGTGGGAAAGAATTTGTGTGGAAGCAATGCATCTTCCACATTCAGATGGTTGCTACCTTAGTAAATAACCACAGTCCTCTGAGTTGGCTTAACTAAGTATCAAACAATTCAAGGTATGGTGTACTGAGTGTTTACTTATGTATTGACAATATATATTCCCTTCTAGATTCTGTTAATTCTCAATCCAATTGGAAAACATGATAGTTTCTAGGGACTAAGTGTCTGTTAATATTTTTAACTATATTAAATTTTCTTTTTTTTTAATTTTTATTTTGTCAATATACAATGTAGTTAGTTATTGTGTCCCATCACCAAAACCTCCCTCCCTCCTCCCTCTCCCCCCTCCCATTTTTTTGTTTTGTTGTTGTTGTTGTTCTTGTTGTTTGTTTGGGGTTTTTTGTGTGTGTGAGAGTGTGTGTGTGTATGTGTATGTGTGTGTGTGAATTGATTCATTCACCTTTAGCTGCCTCCAATAAGTGAAAACATGTGGTTTTTCTTTTTCACTGCCTGACTCGTTTCACTTAATATTATTCTTTCAAGGTCCAACGATTTTCATCAAAACATAAATAATTAGAAAAGATAACAGGTATAACAGAACCCTGATAAATGTTCTTGTTTTACTTGTGGAACATGCAGAAAAATCCAGGACCCCCAGAGGACTTCAAGACATTGAGGCTCTGCTGGGCTGGGTGGTCTCAGTGCCAGTTTTTGAAATGTTGAGATTCCATAATTCCCAACATCTGGAAACTGGATGGACCCTATTTGAACCACTTTCATGCTTTCGAATGAATGAGTTAACTGCAAATATATTTGGGAAGAAAAGATACAAAGAGAAAAAACTAAACTCTTTACAGGCCCTTTTAAGTTCTCAGATCATAGTTTTAAAAATTTCCCATTCAGATCCCCATACTGGCCAGAACCCCCCAACCAAAAAAACCTGATAAATCAACATTTAAAATCACTGCTATATTTAAAGGCTGTAAGATATGGGAATACAGCTCTAGTGATAAGTTATGTACTGTCAGCTAATCAATACTTCTTCCTACCACTTGACCAGTGTCAGCAGAAATGATTGTTTCCCCCTTCCATTTTATGACTAAAAATTAGTCAACGAAGATTGGTTCTCCACACTCGGGCAACATAATTAACACTAAAGATATTGCTTAAGAACAACCAAAACCAGTTTTGTTTGTTTTGTTTTCCAAGGATGCAGCCTAGTATCTACAGTATCCACCTAGCCAAAGTATATTACTGTCTCCCATCATAGTAGCTCACCATTATCCCAGATTAACATTTTCTGAGTACTGAAATATGTAGGACACTGGGTAAGGCATAACATAACTCATTTCATCACTTGACACTCTATAAATGTTGAAAAGATTAAGTAAATTCAAGAAGAATGCCAAGAAATGAGAAACCTATTTTATAAAATCAAAGATTATTAGCAATATTCTCATCAGGTTAAAAAAAAAGGGTCCATTTTTAGCTCAATACCGTAAAAATGTAACAATGGGTATTATACTGGAAATCTGGAGAAAAATCACCAAATATCTGGTGACACTGACAAAATCCATCAGGCTTTCTAAGTTTTGGCTGCTTTATGATGAAATGGGAAGAGGGAAGGAGATCAGATTATATCATCTTTACATCTCTGTCCTAAAACCTCAACATCTCAAACTTACCTGTTGTAGGGTCCACTGTTATTCTGTAACCCACAATTGGATCAACTGGTCTTGCCCATGACATATGAACAGTATTTTCATCTATAATTTTAAAATTCAAGTCTGAAGGTGGGTCAACTGCAAAAGAGAGAGTTGATATTATTTGCATTTTCCAATGTCACAAAATGGTCAACTTAATTAATAAAGAATTGTGCTCAGCAAAGCTTACTAAAATTGTCTTTGCATAAATTTGTTTCCAACAAATATAAAATATATCTTGTTGGATAAGAATAAAATTAAAAGGTGACAAGATATGACAAAACATCAGAGAGTATACATACTACAAAAGACAGCACAAAACACTTTTGATTCTTGAGTTGCTAGGTCATTCAAGAATGGCCAGCAAAATCAAGCATAATAGAAACATATTTGGATACAAGTACATACAAGTACAATGGAATCACATATAATAACCACATATGCAAACAATTCACATAACAATTAAAGGAATTTCAATACATGCTGAGTGCATTTTGAACAAGCATGCCAAATCACAACCTGCTTACAACCATAGAAGTGAATTTCAAACATTGACATAATACTTTTTTTTCCATAATGTGGAAGAAAATCAATGATGTTTTTAATTCATTCTCTGCATTGTTGCCTTATTATTAATTATTATTTGATAAATCTCAATCTGTGGCAGAGATGGAAAATGTACTTTAATGAAAAAGAGGAATAATGGAAATTTGGTTATGTCTCACAAGGAAATATACATTTAAATGTATATTCATATCCATATGGACAAATATTCAAAAAAATAATAAAGGATGTTAATAATTTATAAGTATATAAACAGTGATTTTACAGATGTTTATAAAATGAATATTCTGCCTGTTTACACCAACTTGCTGTATGTTTCCAAGGTGTAAACCAATACTGTTATTTCCTTTGCAGCAGGTATACTCCATACTAGAAATAGCATTTTAAATTAAAATGCCAGTATGGTCCTTTACAAAACAATGGTTAATTATGAAAAGACAACATCAATGTATATTTATGGACATTTATTTATAGAACTTAAAGAAAACAGTAAAGAAAGATCAGCAATCCGAAGACATGACTGTGCATAAAAACTTGGAGAAGTCAATGAAAGGAATAACTGAAAATTACAGAAAAGAATAGTTTACATACAAAACTGTACAGCATCATGCATGTGTCAATGAAATGCTGACTTGTTTTTAGTTTCCCACAATGAACGAAAGCCTCCATGTACAATAGTCATTACACAAAGACGTTTCCAAAATATTTTATAATGATATTCTCTCTACAATGTTCATGCCTCATCATGCAGCATTGTACTGACTCACTGTCAGTGCATGGTCGATGCATTAAAAATTATTACTCTTGAAGCAAGTCAACAAAGTAAAATGACTTTCAGCCATACTCTTCTTAAAATGGTTTAGTCAAAGTATTCCTCGTGAGTCAGAATTTTTGCATTTGTTTTGAGAGATTAAAATCTCCTTTTAGGTTTTTATACAGGTCAATTGAAATACAGTAGTAGCTTTGAGACATGAGTCATAAAATTTAACTAGGGTTAGGGATTTATGTAATATTAATGGCATGTTTTAATGGAAATAAAACAAATTAAGCAAAGATTTGCTTTAATGAACTACCACCTCCAACTTTAGGAGATGGCTTTTTATTTTTATTGGATACAGTAATACTGGAATGAATGTTATTTTGTTACTATCCATACACAGGCAGTGAGATTAGACTATTAATTTACATGCATAGTTTAATTATTCAGCATTCTTTTGTCCGTAATCATATTTTCAAGGTTGAGCTATACGCATCACTTAGTATTACAAACATGCAACAGATGTTAATGGGACAATAGGTATTAAGAATATCATTATAAAATATTGTTCCAATAGCAATGGCTCAGGACAAATTTAATGCAAAGGCAGACACAACTGGCCTGAGCATGCTTTAAAAAAAACCAGTACATGGAAAAACAGTACCACCAACCTTGGAAGGAAATTGACCTGAAGCAGCAGACATTAGGTTAAAACTGCTGAAGGGCAGCAGCTGCCCACCTTGTTGATATCCAAATGACCAGGATTCCAGATAAACTGAAAAATTGACTGTGGGGAAAAATCTTTAACATTTCAGAAGATTTAAGGTGTTCATAGAAACTCAGATGTGGTACTTGGGAAACAAAATTAGGAAAGAATGGCCGACCAGCATGTGTGCAAAGGAGAGCCCACTCTGCTTTTCTTTTTGCTGGTTTTATCACATGTACAACCTTTCAGGCTTGCCATTCTATTTATATATTTGTTTGTCTGTTTCATGTAAAAATGATAATAAAGCAGGTGTGAGTGTGGGACCCATGTCAACTTAAATCAATGCAAAAATGTACTTTTATTAAAGTTGAAATCTTTCTTTTACATAAAAATAATTCACAACCACCATTGCATCATCCCAGAGTCTAGGTGTTGCCTAAAACAATGCTGATGCCAGACTATTTCAAATATGAGCTAGCTATATATGGATTAAATTGCAAAGAGCCATGGTTCAATAGAATAAGAATCTGAACCAGGAGAAATAGAACAAAAATTATAAAAAACAACAATCTGATATACAAGGGTACTTCATGGAGTTTATGGAAAAATAAAATTGAAAGATAATATGAATCTTTCTACAAACTTTTTGAAGTACCTTTGTTTATTAATAAAGTCTTAATACTGATAGTAAAGAGACTAAAATTGTATGTATTTGTAACTCTAGTAGTTTAATATCATATTTATGAATAATGCTTTTTGTTATCAAAATGCTTTGCTATGAAAGCCTTATTCTGGTGAGATTTTCATTATATAAATTGGCAGGATTTAGAAAATTTTAGGAATGATCATAATAGCTAACATTTGCTGACTGTCTTCTAGGTGATAGGCAGAGAGTTAGTCACTTTGTACAACTATACTGTCTCTTTTCTTTCTTATAACAACCCTGAGGTGGCCTTATTATCTCTGTGATGAGTCAGTGAAATTCAGAAAGGTTAGCACAGCAAACAGGCAGCAACATTTTCATCCCATGGTCTGACTCCAAAGAATAGTTTTCTTCTATATTAGATTAAATATAAAAAAGAAGTATTTCATCAGAATTTAATTTTAGAAACCAATGTTTATATGTAGTTGCCTATTAATATATACATATATATTTTTCTACTCTATGAAAAACCATTATTGTAAGAAAAAATAATGCCTGGTCAATAATAAATTTGTGGTACTCAGATATCTCCAATTCAGATATAAATTGAATCTGGTTCATTAACTTTACACGCTTACTCAAGCAATTTTTAAAATGAGGTGTCTGTCTTGATACATAATACAAAGAAAGTTATTTTTTTCTTCATTAGGGCAAATGTCCAACAATTTGCCAGCAGTGGCAGAAATGAATGAATGGAAGGATAGATGGATAGATGGATGGAAAGATGTAGAAGTGGGAGGAGAAGAGTCTAATAAGTTTTGGTAAGTATATATACTGTGTTACAGATAAAGCAAAGCTGAGAATCCACTACTAAAATATTATCTTGAATTAGGCTGATATCTGTCATAGTGACACTGGAAAGGATATTACCTTAATGGTAGAAACTTTTAGAGGTGTGCAAAGTGTGATGAGTTTACTATATTTGACAGGCATCGATTTATATTTTCCATGCAATGTTAGTATAAATGTAATGATCTTTGGATGACATAGAAATTCATTTCATTTGTGTTTGCAAGATATCAAACATAAAGTTTAAAAGTTAGTATTTCAGACAAGCAATAGATTATTTTGTACATAATACAAAACGTGTCCTCTCATTAAACTGACTGGGTCAACCAGTTGTCAAGCAAAAAGAAAGCATGGCATTGCCAAACCAGCATTAAATTTAGACTAGAAGACCTGGGTCTTGTCTGTGCTTTGACTTAAGTAACTGTAACAGGTGACCAAGTTATTCAGTCTCTTTGGGCCTCATTTTCTCATTTGGAAAATGAGACAATTAGAATAGGTAATTTCTAAATTCTCCTCTAATTTGAAATTTCTGTTATACGTTAGGCATAAGATTATAGAAATAAATGTTTTCACAAAACTTGTGTAAATCCAAATCCTAGATTAATTAGAAATGTGTCCAATTCTCAGGGAATACAAGCCGTTAACCTTAAAATGCAAAGTGTGAAACTATCTAAAGGTTAATTAACATACTATATAATACATGAACCAAAAATAATTCACACATTCTAGACCATAGAGAGCAATAGCCAAGTTATAAGAGTGATTAAGATCATGCTGTTGCTAAAAATTAACATACTATATAATACATGAACCAAAAATAATTCACACATTCTAGACCATAGAGAGCAATGGCCAAGTTATAAGAGTGATTAAGATCATGCTGTTGCTAAAAATAAAAACTGAAGACATAAAAAGGTCATTTTCACCTTTATTTCTATAGGACAAGATACCATAGTATGAAAAATATAGCTCCTTATACAGTTAGGCAAAAGAAAAGCAACAGGGCAAAAATGGTACCAGTATAAAAAAGGAGAAATGCTAAGAGTGAATGCCAAAACATTTTTATTAATATTTTTTAAAAGTATTGGGTTTTCAACCTATAAAAAATTAATAGAAAATGGTGAGAAAATAGTATGAATACAAGAGTACAAGTATCAGGCACGAAAGGGAAAGGAAAGTAACTATGTCTACTTTAGGACTAAGATCAAAATGTCTTAGTACCAAACAGAATTGCAGGTTGAAGTTTTGAAATGACCCCAACAAAAATACTACAGAAAAATTCTGTTTCCAGCTCATTGTCCCCAGAAGTGCTTTGGCCACATATTTTGTTAGCCCTTCACAGGCTCCTGGGTCCACTTAGTGGGTAGTTAACACCAGAGCTGTGCTGTCCAACATGGGAGCAGCCAGCCATGTGTGGCTATCAAGCACTTGAAATGTGGCCAGTCCAAAATAAAATGTGCTGCAAGTATAAAATACACACCCAATTTCAAACACTTTGTGCAAAAATGTAAAATACCTTGCTAATAATTTTTATATTGATTTAAATAAAATGTATTATAAAAATTAGTTTCTCCTGTTTCTTTTCCCCTTTTTAATGTGACTACCAGAAAATTTTAAGTTACATATGTGCCTTGCTTTTGCAGCTCATTTTATATTTCTATTTGACAGTGCCAAACTAAAGAATAAGGCCAAAAAAATGAATCCTATTAAAATATAATTATTAAATTCTGGCCTAATAAAGTGGGCAACAAGAAAAGACACAGTTTAAGAAAGCAAAAGAGAAAACTGTACCATATGGAAAATAAATACCAATTAAAAAGATAAAATATGAAAAATATAGAAACAAGCAGAAACATAGATAGTAAAATGTTCTTTTTAAGTGAACTTTGCTAACCAGTCATTACCCAATTCAGAATTGATTTTTTCCACTTACATCATTTCCAACCTAATTCTTTCCTAAGAATTCTCAAATCTTTCTGATTTTCAAATAACTATTTTCTTAATGAGCAATAAATGGGCCACTTCAGTGAATTATCTAAAAATATCTTTAGTAGGGCTTCCAGAAGTTCCTCAAGTAAAATTCCTTCCTAACAACGACATAGAAAGGAACATTAAAGGCAAGCTCATCTGAATATTACTTCACAGAGGCCACTCTGAAAAGCCTGCACATTCACAAAATATTAATCAGGAAAGAACAGCCAGCAAATTTGTAACTTTTCTAAACATGTCATACATTTTGGAGACACTCTGCTTTTCGTAATCTTAATTTTTTGTACCTGCAGTCTTCAAGCAGAAAATTAAACACCATAGAAAGTTTTTGAAATCCTCAGCGTTGTCTTGACAGCCCAACCGTCTCACAACTTCTAAAAAAGCAAAACTACCCTGGAATTTACACAACTGTCACATGCTGAAGTACGTCTTTTCTCCCTTAACTTCACCAGGGGCCTTTCTTTATTTAAAAAAAGTAAGAAAAAAAAATTAAGTGTCTTTTATGACATTACCCCGTTTACCTTGCAAAATAATGAAACTAGTTTGTCAGGTCTCCAGTGATAATTGAGGGAACACAGAAGCCCCCATGGGGTTAATATATAGAAATGGCCTGTTTAGTGAATGTCGAGAAATTAAGGCATCAAATGCACACAACAAAAAGAATAAAATGAGGCTGAAAATCTAACAAAAGCCCTTCGTTTTCTAGGGGGCGGGGCCGCACGGATCCTTCTGAGAGCCCCCGACCGCCTCCGCGCGAAGGTCAGACGCGCCGGGCTCTCCACGAGGGGGCCGGGGCAGGACGCCGGAGGTGGTGCCAGGCTCTTCTGGCGCGCGCTCGCTTCCGGGGCTGGGAACCTTGGCCCAGACCCAACCTGTCCGAGCTGAGCTGGTCTGGGCCACGCGCCTCGGAAACCCGCGAACAAGCCAAAGACAGCAGCGACCCTAGGTCACCCGAGTACAACCGTGCCCCCGGTCTCTGCTTGCCACCCATCCCCGGGCGGTTTGGCTGCTGGCTCATCTGCCTGCACCGTTCCACCTAGCAGACCGAGCTCCCCACAAAACACACAGACGCGCAGAGCCGGCGCTGTTGGAGTCTTTTATTTAGTGCTGTCACAGAGGTCGCAGCCCCGAGCCAGGTGGTGACCAGCCAAGCGAGCGAGCTCGCGCTGCGGGGTTCCTGGGTACCACCCGGAGGTGTCCTGTTGGTAGAGCTCGGTGCAGCCGTCGCCCCCTCCAAGGCGGCTAATCCTCTTGAAAAACGGCAATGTAGGTGGCAGTGTGGACAGCACACCGCAGAGACAAGTACAAGGAGACCACACAGCACTGTATGAAATGGATTAAGCACGATACGAAAGAGCTGGACCCGAGAGCAGGGAAATGGACAAACTTCAGGAGAAGGGGGCGTTTCTCAGGAGAGAAACCACCGGAGAAAGCACAAAGTGCAAGGGAAACAGAGCAAGCAATAGGGCAAGAAAGATTTGTTTTTCCTTTCTCAAATTCTGCATTGTCGCTTGGGGAGGGGGAAAGAAGAGCCTTTTACCTTCTGCCTCAATAGAAGACAGGAGCAGGGCCGCGCCCAGGGCGGCGAGCGCTGGGGGAAGCCTGGTCCGCATGCTCGGCCTCCAAGTTCACAGCCTCATGAAGGGATCTGCGGGAGGAAGCAGTGACCGCATCAGAACCGGGTCTGGGCAGGCCTGAAACCAGGTTAGAACTGGAGCCTGAACCCAGTGCAGAACCCGACCAGATCTGCCTTAATAATCACAAGGCTCAGCCCAGCATATAAAGGGCCTATTGTGGAGCAATGTTAAGTCAAGTTCATCTACAGAAGTTTAATCATGGCACTAAGAGGGAGTTCGAGTTTAAAGAGAGTCCTGTTTTCCTGGAGACTGGCCCTGCTTAGCATCCCTGGTAAAGGCCATACCAGCCCCCACATGACTTCATCCTGCCTGGGTGATGGCTAATTCAGAGGCTGTTTTATCCCTAATTCAACTAAATGTCTCTTCCAGCTGGGGATTTTATTTGGCTGCTTTTTCCTAGCTGCTGAACTCTTTAGGTAACTGTATTTTAGTGGTCTCAGGGTAATTTGGAAAAGTATAATAAACCTTTTTACTCTTTTTTCTTTATTTTGTTCTGCCTACAAATATGCAGCTCTTTAAGTTCTGAAATGGATTGTACAGAAATATGTGAGGCCCAGCCGAAACCTGACTCTCCTGCTAACTTTGTTTTCACATCTGATAAATCCTTTACCCAAAATGAGGGAAAAACAACTCTAAAATACGTAATAAAAGAGACAGGGCAAATACAAGATGCAAAACACCCTTGTCTGTCTTTGCATTATATTTTTTAATGAAAATTCTCAGTAATAATTAATATTTGCATTTAACTGTTTGTTTATCCTGGAAGATTACAGGTATATATATGCTCCAGAGGAGAATATGTTCTGTTCCGATTTTTCCTAATTCTGTAACTGTACTATTAACTCCTTAAAGACAAAGAGGCTTAGTCATCTTTTACGGTTTCCTAGCACACAGTAGGTGCTTGATCATTGCCCGCAGAATGGAATCTCCTAAAATGTCCTAAGGTCTAATCCAAAGACAAAAGCTATCAGCAATGAAATGAATTGGGAAGCTGCCAGTGGCAAAACATAAAAAGAGAGTTGATTGTGAGGTACATAAGGTATTGTA